CTCGCACTGTATCATAATATTCCGCACTCAGATTCGATCGTAACTTGTGTTCATAACATCTCATAATATGACGTTATGAAATATTATTCTCAACTCATCATTTTCTCATCTCATTCTAATCTCAATCTCTTAAAATCTGATCACAAAGTTCAAATCTCATGTGATCATTCAATTTTCCACTCTTTTCGATAACTTTCATTTCGATAATTTCACTCCAGAACTTCCGCTCGTCACACTATCATAAAGCTATCCCTGCTTCTTACTTTCGTAATGAATATAGATAGTGAATGAAATAATGAATATGAATGCAAATATGGAACGGACAAATAAAGAGCATCACAAAACAACAGCAAACAAAACCATCGTCGTCGTCATCACATCACCAAAAAATATCATTAATCAAATTAATCAAATCTTAATTGCGTGTTGACTATGAAGTGAAGTTGTCAACACAAACGGAGATATTTCTCAATAGTGGATGATTCCGAAGATTTGGAATTTTCTCTTGAGTTCTCTTGAAAGTGCTCAGTTTCGAAAATCTTCTCAGCCCTCCAAACATTCAAAATTATCATCACCATAACTGAACGACGACATTATCAAAAATGAATGACTCAAATGAAACGAACGAGTCATCCATCGTAGAGCATTTTACAAAACAAGTTTGCAAAATGACTCACAATCGGCAAATAATTAACAGGCACAGCAAGCAGCATTATCATCATCACGTAGCAAAAAAAAANAAAAAAAAATATAGCAGTAAGCAAAAAAATGATTTGAAAACTTGCAAATGATTTGAGAAAAATTATAAAAAGGCAAAAGGTCATCATCGTCATCACATAGCAAAAAATATCACGATATGTAAAAAAAATGAAACAAAATTGCAAAACGATTCAAAAAATGATAATAAGGCAAAAGTCATCGTCGTCATCACATCACAAAATATCAAAATATATTAAGCAAATGGAATAACATTGCAAAATGAGTTACAAACTAGCAAAAAGGCACAAAGTCATCGTCATCACATCACAAAAAAACACCAAAAAACGGAAGCAATAACAAAAATGAAATCAACGAAAAATAATAAATAACAATAATGAATAACAAGAATCAACACTAACAATATTAGTAACGAAATAATCAAACAAATAACAGTAACAGTAGTGAAATCAACGAAACATAATGAATAGCAATAATGAATAACTTGAATTAACATTAACAAAATTAGTAACGAAATGAAACGAATAACAATAACAGCAATGAAACCAATTAAAAATAACGAAATCAATGCAAATCAACAGTCAATACAAACTTGAATTCATTCAAACACCGACAATATTGTCCAATATTGTCAAAATTTTCGATTCGACTCAAAATTTCATTTCGGATACTTCAATCGAAAAATTTTTGGTCTTCTTTTTGTCATATGACCAAAACTTTATCTTATTTTTGCAATAGATAATAGTGAAGGGCACAACGAAACGAATTCTCCGATTCTCAACAATCGCTCATCACCTTCACATAGCAGAAAACTCTCTTCAATTCATCACCGAAAAAACGCGAAGCAACTGAATCTCAATTGTCAATATTCGAAAAGCGCGAAATCACAATGGCCATGTGCTCGGCCAAAATCAACACAACAAATGCGTTCAACGCAACGAGGAGGAAGCTAACGAGGACTGG